AAACCAAGCCATGCGTACACAGCCCGTTGTCCGTTCAATACTGCCCGCGCCTGCGTCTGCTTCAGCTCGCAATCCTTGTCTTGAAGCTTCGATTCCAGCTCCAGTTTGCTGGCCGTCAGATCCTTCAACAATGCCTGCAAGCGCGACACAGGATTTCTTGAGCAGGTTCGAGTCGTTTGCAAAAAACACCAAGCTCGACAAACACATCTTGTAAATCCAACTGCTCCTTCTGAACTGCCCGCGCCTCACTTCGCTTCAACTCATCGTCCTTGATTGTCAGCTGGGCCTCCATCTCCGATTGGTTGATGTCGGGCACAAAAACAGACATCACACAAATTCCAAAAAAACCTTCACGTGTATGCCGCTTGTCTGTTCAGTACCGGCCGCGCCTCCGCTTCCTCCAGCTCACGTTTCAAATCACCTTTGTTCCGGAGGAACGCCTCCTAGCACAATGACAAGTTTTTTTTTGTTTCGAATCCAAGCCGTTCATAGAAATGTCACTATCGGTTCAAGCACTCCCGCGCCTCCTTCTCCATCAGCTGGGCCTCCTTGTCGCTTACGGAGGCCTCCAAGCATAACACAAGACGTCCATTCCTGTGAATCCAAGCCTTTCGCGCGGCAACCGCCACCCATTCGAAGAAGTATCCCGCGCCTTTAGCATCTGCAGCGCAGCTTGAGCTTCCATAAGCTCACTGTCCTTTTTCCCAGTGGACGCCTCCAAGCATGACAACAAAACTCTGTGAATCCTAGTGGTTCCTGCATCCGCAGTTACCCGTTCAAGGCATATCCTGCGCCTCCATCATCTCCAGCGCAGCTAAAGCTTCCATGAGCTCGCCGTCCCTTTCTTTGAGCTGGCCCTCTTTATCTTTAACAGACGCCTGCAAGCATGACAGAAGACATCTGTTCATAGTATGAATCTGGCTTTTCGTTGCCCAAATGCCACCCATTCAAAGAAGTATCCCACGCCTCCAAGAGCTGCAACGCAGCTAGAGCTTCTTTCAGCTTGCTGTCACTGTCTTTCAAGCTAACATCCATCTCTGCCTTCAAGGACGCCTCCAAGCACAGCAGAAGATCTCTTTCAAAACCAAGCCGTCCGTACACAGCCCGTTGTCCGTTCAACACCGCCTGCGCCTGCGTCTGCTTCAGCTCGCAATCCTTCTCTTGAAGCTTCGATTCCAGCTCCAGTTTGCTGGCCGTCAGATCCTTCAACAACGCCTGCAAGCGGGACACGAGATTTCTTGCACAGATTCGAGTCGTTTGCAAAAAACACCAAGCTCGACAAACACATCTTTTAAATCCAACTGCTCCTTCTGAACTGCCCGCGCCTCACTTTGCTTCAACTCGTCGTCCTTGCTTGTCAGCTGGGCCTCCATCTCCAGACTGCTGGCCTTCAATGACGACTGCACGCACGACAAGAGATTTCTTACAAATCGCTGTGTGGTCAACACCGCCCGCGCCTCAGCTTTCTGCTGCGCAGCTACAGCTTTCTTGCGCTGGTTTTCCTTGTCTTTCAGCTTCGCATCTTGCTTCCGAAGCCTACAGGTGGTGTTGAAGATTGAGGAGGCTATGCATTGTGCCCAAGTAAGGGAATTCAAACCTGAAAGCAGTCCCTGACTGGTGCATCCAGCATCGCCACGTTTGTGAGCATCATTCTGTTGGCACATAAGGTACGGTTCTGCGCATCTGTGCGAATTTCTTTGGCTAACTGGCAAAACCCTAAGCCCGGAAACTCTAATTCCTACCCAATGCGAGCCTCTCACGAAGACGCGACTTTTCGCTGTTGAGTTTCTCAACGACCCCAAGCACCTGACAGAAGCCATCTGAGCCACAGTCTAAACTCCTAGCATCCGCCGTAATATAACGGAGAATCAAATGGTAAAGCAAATGGAAAATGAAATGATAACTGCTATATATATATATATATCTATCTATAGGGTTATGTAGGGGATGATACGGGTTGTAGTCTAAACTCCTAGCATCCTCTTTAATATGCCCTATAGTAGTCCCCTATATAATCTCCTACATAACCCCCTTTGAGGAGTTTGGACTATGGCTCATATGCACGTGTTCACAGCTCTGACAACTTGGCGGGGACAGCCTCTTCCTGAGCAGCCATGAGGACATCCGAGTTGGTCATCTCTTCTTCCAGGTGCTCCTGTCTACGGCACTTACCAGCCAAAGCCCCGAAACTGCGTAAACTTCTCAATAAGGAACAAAAGAATGTGATCCGTGTATAAACCCAAAAAATTTTACAATCCCTTTTACTGCCGAAAAAAGATCCTTGAATGAGTATAGCATCCCTTTATAATCCCTATATGGTGTATAGTATACTCCCTTGTTCCCACTAAACCTTAAACCCTATATATAATATCTTCCCTTACTCCTTACTAACAACCAGCAGCTACAAGGAGTCCTTGAGCTCTGCGACGCGGACATGCAAGGCTGCCATCTGCTTGTCGAGGATCTCTTGGTCGGCCTTGCAATGACCTCGAACATTCCAACATTGCAAACTTACCGCCGCTCTCCATGTGCCCCTCAGGATACATGGGAAGAAAATGGCTACAGGCGCTTGATCTTGAAAACAATAGACACATGGGGTTTTTGGGCCCACTCGCAGGTGCAGGGGTCACGCGATGAGAGGGGGTGTGCAGTAAGGGTGTCCGTGCGTGCCGAAGGAAATCCAAAGGGAAACCATTCTGCGGGCTGGCCTCCAGCAGCGCGGGCATGCGGCGCTTCAAAAAACCGACCCACAACCTCAGCTTCCAGTATCTAGAGTCAGATACGATTCTGGCAGCATATATCACATCCCTAGAAGCCGATTCCATCCGATTCCAGCTCTGAAAGGATTCCCTCGCGGTGCGTAGTCTACTAAGCAAAGCAAGATGCGAATCCAGCTGCCTTCCCCAGCAAACACAAAACAGGCGTACGCGAATCGCATCAATCCGTGACATATCTGAGGATGTGGACATCATCAGCTTTGGCACGCCGCAATTCGTTTCGAAGATCGCGTGACCTAGCGCAGGTCGCAACTGGGATCTTGCTTCCAGCAAAAAAAGCTGTCTGATTCGAAGTGAGGGCTGCATGTAATGTTGACCTCATATTAATCAAATCCTCGCAGAATTGCAAAATCTAAGTCCCAGAACGGAATGGCAAACCCAGCGGTCATTGCAAAACCCAATCTGCTAAAGTGCCAAATTTGGAACTGCTGGCTAGTACTGGCTAGTGCTAGCAGGGCTCCAGCTGATGGACCTGGATATTTCAAATTCCGGGAGCCACATCCCGACGGCAGGTGGGGGAGGCGGAATTCTTAATATGAACCATGGTCTAAACTCCTAGTATCCCCCTTAATAATCCCTATAAGAATTCCCTATATAATCCCCTATATATCCCCCTTTAAGGAGTTTAGACTATAGCTCATGTGTGATGGACATTAGGTCTGCACCTTGGACCTCATCCAAGTAATTTCCCGAGTCAGTCCGTAGATTCCAAAAAAAAAAACATCGTTGGGATTCAAAGCCTTGCACGAATCGTTGGGTGCTCTCCCTACTTGAAGGATCGTGCTGTTT